CTTCTATATTTGTAACATAGTTGCTTAGAGTTGCAGCTCAGAGGCCGGCAGCGGCAGGCGGGGAACTTTGGAGTCCTCCGTCACTGAAGCAAATAAGCCTCATGTTTGCTTCAAGCTGCCTGGCTGCCGGCTGCCATCTTGGCTGACAGTTAATTTGCATATTGCCCTGATTTGCCAATGGGAAGGGTAGTGGATTTTCGGCTAATTACCATGTTTCTCTTTTATTAGATAGGATTACAAAATATATAAATTTACATAAGTTCAATAAATCACTTATCTGATACATTAGTTATAAATTCATGTATCAATATTATAATGTATATTCAATTATATATTCACTTAAATATAAATATATTTTGTATAAAATAGTACTTAGTATAAACTACTTATATACAAGTACTTAATATGAATATGATTTTATATAAATATTCTTTTATAGTTAATTTATAGCTATTGAGCTTGTACTGAGTTCACGGAGTGTTGGTATATATTTGTATATAGACAAAATGGAGGTAAATGTATAATGCAATTGCAAATACAAAATTTTTTACATCAAACTGTAAAAATTAAAATAATTAAGTATATTTAATTAATAACATCTGAGAAATGGTACTTTTTAACATAAGTTTTATTGTAATCATATTAATAATAAAGAGATCCATAAATACATTATTTTCCTTAACACATGAAATGATGTCTTTTTATTTTATGAAATCTTAGAGTTTTAATTACATACCTTTATTCATTATATTTTTGGAAATGTGCAATTATTATTATTGATGCGTTGGTTATGGATAACTGGTATAAAATCCTCTAACATTTATTTTCTTGAGTGCAATAGTCTGAAAGATGTAGGTTTAGCTAACAGTGCTCTATACAAATGAGTAGATAAGGGGATAGAAATATATATTGCAAAGACATTACAATAAATGGACAAAAGATAAATCAGACTAACCCATTGTTTGAGGAAAGGATTATGTGAACTTCCACAAAATCATGTCATGCTGACTTGTATGTATGAAAGAAGTCATCTGGGTTTTGTGGGTGAAAGTTGTGGGATAAGTAGCAAACCAGTTTTTAAATTATTACATGTTTAACCAATAAAATTATTCCACAAATGCTTATAAATTCTTCCAGATATGATGATGTCACTTTATTATAAAAAATATTGAGCATGAGAACGGATATATACACATACTCACACAATCCTTCAGTGTTATTTCTTTAGACTGAAGCATGGATAATTGTTAGAAAACATATATGCCAAATGTCTGCCGTGCCACTTGTGAACTGTATGCCATTTCCCTAGCAGAGATAATAAGACTCTCACCCTCTCCAGGCACTCTCGGTGTGGCTAATTCCTCTCATGGCAGTAGCTGGACTGTGCTTACAATAGCATACATAGTACAGTAATAGGACTTAGGTTATTAGTTTAGGATTTTAGTATCAGTTGCCAATACTTTATGGTTGTGAACATTTTCCAAATTGCTATAAACCATCCTATATAATAAAAGCGTAATATGGAAATCGACTGAACAGCCAAACAGCGATTGTTAGGGGGCCTGGACATTGCCCCATGATTGCCCTGCACAGGGAGGTGCAGGCCACAGGCCATTGGGGTGATTAATTAGGGGCTTCACAATTGCCCCAAAGAGGGAGACCCAGGCCACCTACCAGTGGGATGTGGCTGTGGGCAGGGCCTCTCTCTGTGAGGAAAGCCCAGGTACTGGGTGCCTGCCACTAGCCAGAAGGAAGCCCGGGTCTGAGGTTCCAGAGGGAAGCCAGTGCTGGCAGCCGGGGGAAGGAAGGCTTACTCTTGCATGAATTTTGCGCATCAGGCCTCTAGTATTTAATAAGGGAGTATTTTCATGAGATGGTGCAATTTATTTAAAGAAGCTATTAAACATACCATATCTCTGCTACTCTGTGAATCCTATTTTGTAGCACCCTGCTTTCCACCTCATATGTTTTTCTAAGCTTTCAGAAACTCCCCTAGGAAAAGCAGCTCTGTCTGTACAGGTCAAGACAGGAAGGACAATCTGACTTTTTCTCATAAGTAGGAGGGAGAGAAATGTATCCGAAAGACAGAAACAAGCATAAAAATAATGTTTATAAGGGTCCTTTCTACAGCAAGCACTTTATAAGTGGTCTGAAAGTAATTCAAAGGGAAAAAACTTCATAATTTAGAATGTGTGGCAATATGGGATGTAAATATTTGCACCTGAATATATCTTTAAAAATCAATGGACCAGGTTGTAAAAGGAACAATATTTATTTTTTAGCAATAGAGGCATACTTGGCAAAATTCACAACAAACATATAATAGTAAAATTAATTTAAAATGAGATTTCAATGATTTAAAATATAAGTTAAACTTACCACCAAAAGTTAACATTATATCTGTTGGAATGTTTCTTTCCAAAGCTTGCAGTTTAAGTGATAAAAATAATTTTGGCATTAATTTGATGTATATGAGATGTTTTTCACCCACTTAAGTAAATAAAATATCTTTAGAATTAAAAAATAATAATCTGGGATAAATAATTAACTCAGAGGCTAATTCAACAATCAGATCTATCTATCTACCTATCTATCATTTATCTATCATCTATCTATCTATATTAGAAGCCCGATGCATGAAATTTGTGCAAGGGGGCTCGGCCCTCGCAGCCCCGGCTGCCTCGGCACTCACAGCCCTGGCTTAGTCTGGATGGTCATCCTGCTGTTTGGTCTAATTAGCATATTAGCTCTTTATTACATAGGATATTAATATACATATCTCTCTATATACACAGTTTCCAAAAAAAATGTATAAATACTTTAACATCTGGTAGCTCGATTTTGAAGTAAAATGTATTTTAATAAACATTGCCTTTATAATTATTCAAGGTGTATGTATACATTTTTGGGATACTATATATAGATAAAAATGCAATTCCCACATGGACATATAAGTTAGTGATACTCTCTTTCATGCAAGTAACATAAAAATTTATGTAATGGGAGCTCTTTCTCTGTAAAATCTGCTTACTAGAAATATAATTTTTTCTGGAATGTGATCTTAAAATCCTGCAAGAAGTTTCATAATCTTATGACCTGTGAGAATTTCTTTATATATTTAAAATTATAATCATGTACAAGCAAACTTGAAACATTCTTATATATTATACTAGAGGCTTGGTGCACAAAATTCATGCACTTGGGGGGTCCCTCAGTCCAGCCTGTGCCCTCTCGCAGGGAGCGGGCCTAAGCCATCAGTCAGACATCCCTAGCACTGCTGCAGAGGTAGGAGAGGCTCCCCATCATCACTGTTGCACTCACCAGCCGTGAGCTCGGCTTCTGGCTAAGCAGTGCTCCCCCTGTGGGATCAGGCCGAAACTGGCTCTCTGCATCCCCTGAGGGGTCACGGATTGCAAGAAGGCTCAGGCCAGGCCAAGGGACCCCATGGTGCATGATCGGGACTGGGAAGAGATGTGGGAGGTTGGCCAGCTGAGAAGGAACCATGGGAGGGCTCCAGGGCATGTTTGGCCTGTCTCGCTCAGTCCCGATCTACTGAACCCCAGCAACAAGCTAACCTACTGGTGAGAGTGTCTGCCCCCTGGTGGTTAGTACATATTATGGTCAACTGGTCGACTGTCTCCTGGTGGTCAGTGCACATCATAGTGACTGATTGACTGCCTGCCCCCTGGGGGTCAGTGCATGTCATGGCAAGCAGTTGAGTGGCCTTAGCATATCATTAGTACATTACACTTTGATTGGTTGAACAGCCGAGCAGTAGACTGGACACTTAGCATATTAGGCTTTTATTATATAGGATTTTAAAACATTATGTGAAATATGTTGATTCTTTTAATAAAAACTAAATCCTTTTGAGCAGCACAATATCAATTTTGAATGAGGATTCTAGAAAAATTGTGGAAAAAACTTAATATGCTTTTAAAAATAAATGATATTTTTGATGTAAATGATGCACATTATGCTTAGTGGATTGTTATTAAAACTAGGGCATTCAAAAATGTGATTTTAAAAGTGGTATGAGATCTGAGATGAAAAACCTCTAATATTCAGCCATGAGTGTTGTGCTAATTAAACTGCATAATCAAGTAATGTCAAGGATTTAAAGATTATTATGCAGCTGCTTCAGAATGAGTGTGGAAAATGAGTGAGGATTAGTTACTGTTTATCCTTTTTAACTCCTTTAAAACTTGCATACATTCAAGCTGGAGGTGGCATGCAGGAAAATAAGAAATTACTACAGACAAGTCCATTTTCTCCCCACTTGGAAACTCCTCCTTCCATCTTAATCCAGTCTTTTCAGTTTGGTCCTTTTGATTTTGTTTTCTTCAGTGCAAATCTATTATTTCATTAATTTGGTTGTTGGCAATTACTCCTTAGTTTCAAACTTCTAAAATATGGCTAATTTAATACATTAGGCTCTGCATCCCACTAAAGCCCTAGGAGCCCACCAGTAGAGCCACAGTACAAAATTTTTGTGTGGGATACCATCTGAATGTAAGCATCTTATTCCACTTGCTTTAAATATTACAGTAGTTTTTAAAAATTTGTGGTAAATTTTGGTATATTAACTGATAAATGGTGATGTGAGACTGGAATTTTAATGACAATATTTTATTTCTTGAGACCCTTTTGCCATTATTCTTGTTGA